AGAAGAAGAAATAAAATCCATACCCAAATATCTTTGTGATAAGAATAACCATCGCTTAGTCCTTAGCTAAATACATACAAAATTCGCATCTCTATGTAATTATCAAAGATTCTCTCAAGTTATTTGTGTATCACTTAAGTCGTATTTTGGATCCGTACATCTCTGAGTCTAAGATCTAATATTAACATTTCAAAGTGATCGGCTTATCCGCATCTAGTTTAAGTCCCGTCTTAAGTGACCAAGTTTACGAAGTGGTAAAGAGTAAAAACACCCCAAATATTGTATAAAAATCTTAAGTTAAACTCACACCCACACCCATACGAGTAAATTAGCTTATAATAGACATAATAAACATAATAGAAGATAGTAAATAAGACTGAAATGTAACTTTCATTAATATAAAACTAAACTATGTTCCCACAGTGGCCACAGTGGCGAGACTGTTGGCTACAAATTACAACTTCAATACAAGAAAATAAAATGTTAAGCTAAAACTAAGAGAATACGAGAAGAACTTCAGCTAAAATACTTCTAAAGATGAGTAAATAGATGATAAAAGGATGATAAGAGGGGATGATCTTAAAATGAGCCATAATGCCTCTTTATATAGGGGGAATGGGTAATGATGAAGCATTTATCCAAAGAAAATTAAGTACAAATAAACCTTGTGGTAAAGACCATTAAACAACAACTTAAAATAATATAAAGGACAACTTTACAGCCAACTACAGCCATATGAAATCTTTGGACAAGATTTTCAAGCAATACATCCTCCAAAAAGTAGAAAGCTAACAAAATTCGTGAACATCTTATAGTGGTGACATAGTGGACGGTTACCAAAAAATGCAATTTTTCAAAATAAATTTTTTTACTTTGTGTTTCATCATTTTTTTAAAACTTATAAAAATATTGGGGAAAAACACAAAAATTGAATATTTAATAAATGCAAAAATAAAAGAAATAAATAAAAAATAGCTTTCAAAATTGAGAGTTATCAGCTACTTGAGATAAGAACCCCATTTAAAATGATACTTACACTAAATCACTAAAATGGTACTTTAAGTCTAGGATGTTTTACCTTTTTAGTCTAGTTCATTTAAAATTTTACATTTTCAATCCCTAATTAAAAATAACTGTTACTATTTTCATCTATGAGTTGGTTTTCGATGAGAATAAAAGTTAAAATAAGAAACGTATGAGAGATCTCCTCCCTTGAATGCATATTAGGATGAAATGCAGGAGATGAGATGCACCAAGTTGCATCAGATCAATTTTCGTATCAAGAGCGATTCATGGGTAAGTTTGAGATTAAGGGTGATCCGTGATCAAGAGTCCAAATCCCTTTTATGCTTCTCACCTTAACTCTTCTTCTCATACGATCCTTGCCTTTGATCTATGTAGGTTTCTTCATCGACGATTGTGCACTAAATTGAGGATATATAATCATATAAATATAGATATAAAAAAACAGACAGACTTTCATTTGAGAATTCATAAAATTGTGATAACCTTAATAATGTTGTATCATGTTACATTTCAGATGATATTTTTCCATCTATAGCTTGCAATTAGTGTATTAATTAACACATATTTATTTCACAATGCGGATATTTTTTATGTGTTTGTGAAATAAAAAGTACAACTAAATATTTTTACTTTATGAATTGAATACATATTAAACAAATACATTGTAAACCAAATATATGTTAATTAATATATTAAATTCTAGCCTTAGATGTAAAAAAAATCATGTAAAACGATATTTTACCATAATAGTTCTCATAATTATCATAATATATTCGGTTCTCAAATGATTAAACTCTTGGAAAAAAAAAACATATGTGTTATATATATATATATAGAGAGAGAGAGAGAGAGAGAGGTTGGTTATTATACAACCCTTGACATTTGTACAACCAATACAACTCAATATCAACCGTCCATTTCATTTGATTAATATGTGATTTCATAGAAGTTTTGATTGTTTCTTAATATAAAGTATTGATCATAATTAATGAACCATATTCATCTTTCATAAATATTCAAATCATAATAAATGAATTCTCATCATTTCCATAAATATCTCAATTCCTTGGGTTGCATTGGTTGTACAAATGCGATGAGTTGTATTTGAAACAAACTATATATATATATATATATACATATATATATATATATGTGAGTTATTGTGCAACCTTTTATATTTGTATAACCAATATAACTCAATCTCAACCGTCCATTTAATTTGATGAATATGTGATTTCATAAAAAATTGATTGTTTCCTAATATAAAATATTGATCATAACTAATTAACCATAGTTATCTTTCATAAATATTCAAATCATAATAAATAAACTCTCATCATTTTTATATATACCTCAATTAATTATGTTATATTAGTTGTACAAATGTGATGGGTTGCATTTGAAACGTCATCTCTCTATATATATGTGTGTATGTCGTGTTTCACAAAAGGAAAATTCAAAATTAGAACTTACAAAAAAAATATCATATCTATTTTACATAACTTTGAAAAATTAATATACATTACTATGATTTTACGAATATATAATTTATATTAATTATCCTAAGGTGCATAAGATTCTTTTTTACACTTTTCACTTTAACTTTCATTCTTATCAGAACCCAATCTCCTCATATATATGTAAAAAAATTAAAGTATATAGTTTAAAAACGTCAACTCAATGAGTCAACCTAATGAATAGAAGAGTCGTTCGACCATTCATTGTATCCTTTAAAGCCTAATAGAATTCCAGTATACTGCTATGTCTTAATTATTATTATTTTTGATATTTTACATGAAATAAGAACCAAGATCATATAATATTTGTTTCTAATTAGGGGACCTTAATGCAACATCTCTTTTAGGTGCACGTTAACTACGTGATGACATTCATTCTATGTTCATGGCACCAGAGTTTCTCACGTAGTCAAACTGTATACATACACTTTTCGCGCAAACCTCTGCATACATTCGACACTAGAAGAAAGATTGTGTTTTGCATCTAACCAAAATTGGCCACCGAATTAGTATTCACAAATCAACATAATACCAAAAACTCTTTGCCTCCAAAGATGGATTGTCGTCTTCGACAACGTTTATGGACGATTTCGCTGATTCTATGTTTTGTTGTCATTGCATACGGTATCTCTTTTCTCTTTCTGTTTATTGCATAATATATTTTGATATGTTTTTTCTCGTGAACTTATCACTAAATGACCCAAAAAGATATGCTGAATTAGACATTTTAGTTGTGGTAGGGATAGTAACAGTGTTTGTGTCTGCAGAGATGAGAAAAGCTATTGGAGAAGAAATAGATGCGTCATGTATCTACTCAAGTAAGACTTATAAGGGACCCTGCTTCTCTAGCAGCAATTGTCGCATTATTTGCAAAGCTGAAGGTGCCGTTAGTGGACACTGTCGAATCTTTAGCTTTCGTTGTGTATGTGATAATTGTAGTTACTTTGTAATGGATCCGTAGATCATAAATTAATGTTAAATTTATGAATGGTTAGACATTGACCAGCTAACGATAAACACTCATTTGCAGCAAGAAATTATGTCAAAAATATATACATAAGTAAACTATTTTAAAGTATCATGTAAGTTGTCACTAAAATCGAAAATACAACTGATTTGTATAACTTATGTTGTAGCTTTTTATTATAAGATAACCAAAAAATTTGTTTTAAATATGTTATATAGTTTTAAACAAATAATATGGGTTTTATGATGGATATTTATGTACGTACAAAAGTCTATATCTATATTTTTAAGGATTTTCAGGAAAAAAAAAAGTTAAAGAAAATATTCAATAGATTTTTCAAAATTTCTTTAAAATAGAGAACAAAAATTCAAAATTTTCAAAAGAAAATTACATTCAACTCCAACAGCTGCCTCATTTTAGAGATTACAACCAATGTTAATAAAGCTTGACGCAACAGTCGTCGTCACTTAAGACTTGTGTTTAACGTCATGTTAAGTCTGTGGAACACTATGATCTAATGCGCGGTTTTTGTAGCGTAATATTTGATTTTATTTTTTTTAAATGTCTTATTTGTTAGTTTCTAATGTATAATCTAATTTAAATTATTTAATATCATTGATTCATTAAGTAATAGTAGAAGATATATGTTTATATGTACAATACTTTATATATGAGTTTGTTACAATAAGTCACGTCTTGAAAAAATTCTTGGCCATGCATTGACTCCTAAGGCTTGAAGGTTTGATCTTGCCGCTACGTCATACCTCACGTCATTTAAAACTTTAATTACAACACTGAAATATTTTATACATTTAATACTATATTATTTTTATTTTTATTTTTATTTTCTAAACATTTAATTTGAGAGTTTTTATCGGTACTCAATATAATTAAAAGAATATTTCTATCTTATAATAATCATTTTTGGGAAATTATTTAGATTTGAAGAATTTAATCTTCGATCCTACTTTTTTTTATTTTAAAGAAAAGTTATCAGAGATCCATTAAGACCAAAATATTTCACTTTATTTAAATTTAAGAAAAATTAAATAATTATTTTGACAAGGAGGCGAATAATGTTACGAGAAGGACGGTTAACGTGAAAAGCGTAAAAAATGATTTAGATATTTAATTATTTTTAATATCAAACTAATCCAAAAATCAAGTTTATGGGAGTGTTTATGATTGCTTATAAAAACAACTTATTTATTTATTTATTTCGATGTGATATCAGTAATAAATATTTTTGATTGTTTGATTAAACAACTATATTTGAATAAATAACTTATATATGTGTCAAACCGATAATAAGGAGTTTTTGAAAAAGTTAAACATTCTTATTTATAATAAATTGATAAGTGTTTTTGAAGTATAAGTTGTTTTAAAGGTGAAAATCCGTTTTTCCACTTCCAATCTTTAATATGAACTCAACCTTACGACTAGAAATCAATGAGAAATGAATACAAATGAACGTGAGAAAAGGGCAGTAGAATCTATAGAGCGGAATTCAGCCGTTGGGAGAGAGAGAGTCAATGGCGTGCTGAAGAATTCCGTAGGGAAAGACCCAAGAAGCCGCTAATATCACCTTCAAATCTGAATTCCTTTTCACTATCTCCTCTCTACACAAGGTAACAACTCTCCATCCTTGCTAATTTCATCGTTCATCATGTTAAAACACAAAGAAAATTCTTCAAGTAATGGTGTTTCTGGAGGTGGGATCACTCAATCCAAGGAAACAGACGTGATTTATGATGAGAATCAAGCCAACCCAGGTGAAATTTCTTTATTTTCTGAAAAGGGGATTGGTCTTTCTAATAAAATTCTCGATTCAAAACCCTTAGTATCAGGGACTTGGAATGATGATCACAACGAACCAAAAGGAAAATCGGTTGTTTCTGAGGATCATGGTGATCGTAATCGTTGGGTGGAGAGAGATTTTATGCAGTTATCAGGGAGTTCTTCAAAAAGAGAGGTTGAAGATGATGAATTTAATGTAATTAGTAGAGATAAGAAGCCAAAGTTAGAAACCCTAGACCTATCTTTGGCATTGCCTGATGTTTCATTATCTCTAGCTGCTTCGAATGAGGTTCGATTTGGTGAACCTTCGGTTAGTTTGAAGCCCAGTAGGAGTTTACAGTCTTTGCCTACAAATAGTAACAATACACAGACCACTTTCTCCATGGCTGATTCAATGTCATTTTCGTGTTCCCATCCATTTTCACATAATTCCAGTTGCTCCATGACTCATAATTCAACTGAGAATTACGAGAATTCAAAGATTTGGAATGGTGGGGAGGGAACTAATGGATCTGTTCATAGCCGGTTTAGGCCTGTAGGTGATGGTGGTGTTGTGTTGGTGCAAGCTAATGGCACCAATTCTGATAATAATCTGTCGTTATTCCCTTCCGAACTGCTGGCGAGGCTCAGAAACGACACTCAAGCGGGTGACTCAATGGGAAGAGGTTCTAACGGTACCAAGCCTTCTAGACCTGAAAAGATTCTTCAAGAAATTGTATCAGAGTCTATTCCAGTAATGGCTCAGGTAATTCAAGAGCTTTCTGATGAAACACTCGAATCCACGAAGGACTACTTGAAGAAACTGATAGAAATCCCAGAAAGAAGAGACGAATTGGTGAGACTACAGCTTCGGCTTGAGAGAAGATCCGATCTTACCAGTGAAAATCTTTCAAAAGCCAATAAAAACCAACTTGAAATCTTGGTTTCTATAAGAACGGTTCTTGGAAGCTTCTTATCTGTCCAAAACCGCCTTCCAACCAATGAATTGATCGAGATTTTCTTATATGAAAGGTGTAAGAATGTGAACTGCAAGAGACTATTACCTGATGAAGACTGTGACTGCAAGATTTGTTCAAAAAAGAACGGATTTTGCAGCCAGTGTATGTGCCCAGTTTGTCTGAACTTCGATTGTGCCAACAATACTTGCAGTTGGGTCGGGTGTGATGTATGTCCTCATTGGTGTCATGCAGCCTGCGGTCTACAGAAGAATCTAATAAAGCCCGGTCCGAGCTTGAAGGGACCCACAGGGACAACCGAGATCCAATTTCATTGCATCGGTTGTGGTCATGCTTCTGAGATGTTTGGATTCGTTAAGGATGTTTTTAAGTTTTGTGCAGAAGAATGGAGTTTGGAGACATTGATGAAAGAGCTTGATTGTGTTAGAAAAATCTTTAGAGGGAGTTCGGATTTCAAAGGGAAGGAGCTTTACTCGAAGGCCGGTGAGATGGTATCGAATCTTGATAACAAAGCGATGTCTCCTTCAGATGTATGCAGCTTCATCATTCAGTTTTTCAACTGTAAGTCTTTTCTCAAGTTTTTTAAATTTGTATGCATGATTATAAGAATCAGGGAAGGTTTAAATGACGACCGTAAACATCTTGAGAATCTCATTTGAACTTTCCCTTAAAAGAATGATATAGAAAACTTAGAATTGTCGTTATGATATATAGACACAGATGGCATATCCGAATTTCCCACATCCAATTTGCCATCAACTGTTGTTCCACCATCAAAACCTCCGTCTCAAATGATGAATAGTAACAACATGATGATTGAGGATGAATGGTCCGTAAAGTCGACCAAGAAAGACAGGTTTGACAGCGTGGAAAGCCTTGTGAGGATAAAAGAAGCCGAAGCCAGAATGTTCCAGAAGAAGGCCGATGAAGCCAGAAAAGAAGCAGAGGGGTATAAACGGATGATCAGGATAAAGATCGAGAAATTGGATGAAGAGTATACACAGAAGCTCTCCAAGTTATGTCTAAATGAATCCGAGGAACGAAAGAAGCAGAAAGTTGAGGAGTTTAAGGTTTTGGAAAATGGTCATTGTGAATATTACAAGATGAAGATGAGAATGCAAGCAGAGATTGCTGGTTTACTGCAGAGAATGGAGAACACCAAGAAACAGTGGGTGTAAATCTCAAGTATGTTTCTTTGAAGTTGCAGATTGAATAGTTGTCTTTTTATTCAGTAAATTAAGGATCTTTTTTTGTTTTTTCATCAGATTTAGGGGCCGTTTACCGGTTGAGTATGGTAAGGATTGAGAATCTTACCCGGTTAGAGGCATAGCAAGAACCTAGAAACTTATCCGGTAAGTGAAGGAAAAGACTCTTACCCGGTAATCGCTTACCAGGTAAAAGACGCCTACCAAAAACTCATTTTGATGGTCGATAATGTTCACAATAAGGTACATGAGAGTGGTGATTCTTGTCGATAAGTGTTTATCATGCAAACGTTTGGTAAACAGTACCTTAACTTGTGACAGTACTATATTGAGTATTTGTTCTTGAATGTCATTAATCTTTTCAAGAAAGCTCTTTATTCATGTTTAAATGCAAAAGTTTCTCAACAGCAGTGAATTAAGCGCATGTTTAAAGACGCTACAATAAAATGGGTTTTATAAGATGTTGGATATGTCTTAATGTCCTAATAAACTGTTTCATAGGACTTAAATTTAAAGGACCTAACAATTGTACGTTCTATGTAAAACTGTTGGAATAAGTTGATATGACGTATTTGGGCGTCCTAATAAGTTTTTGTAGTACATTTTTGAAGTAAAGTGTCCTGTTAGCTTTTTTATGAAGTGTTCTATGAGCATGTATTTTTACAACACTTTTTCAAATAATGTCATCAAATTGTCCTATAAAGTTGATGATAGTGCTTCTTGGCCACGCTTCAAGTGTTTGAAAAGGAAATTCTCCGTTAATCCCGTCTCAACAGTCACGATCGCCATGAGAAAGATAACGACGCTAAAGAAAACATGCCATCGAGCTAGTCTTGCCCTTGTTGCAGACTCTGGGCCTAGGAATAAAAGAGAGAAGAATCCCAACGGCGACTAGAATCCGTACATTTGTGTTAGTAAATACGAACGCGTTGGTTGGTAGATTATGAACGATTTCGAGATGGAAGGAGAGCAAGATTACCTGAAACCCGATTAAGCAGATGGTAGACAAGCCGATCCAGGAACGTAATGTGTTCATATGGAGTTCGTTATGAAACTTGAAGACTGCATAAACGCCCAGAATTTCGGCAGCAAGCGCGATCAATTGTAGTCTCAGGCGAGACCGTTTAAGCACTTGTCTTGATCCAGGGATCAACTTGTAGGTGATCATCACTGATTCAAAACACCGATATGCATTACCGCGAATGTGATCATAATATACAACTCAAAAAAGATTATGAAAAGTGAAAACCGTCACATTCTGATAAGAAAACAAAATATAGCTCAAGCCGAATTCGCGTACAATAGTGCGGTTCATAGCTCCACCGGCGTTTCACCATTTTCGGTGGCTTATGAGACCACTCAAAAGCACGTGGTGAATTTAGTCGATTTACCCGGAAAGGCTCACGATAACGCACTCAAGTTGGTTGAAGACGTGCAAAAGACGCATGCCGATGTCCGAGAAAAGATTGCTCAAGATGTACTACACATTCCGTCTGTATGATTGTACGCTCTCGAATGCAGTTCAAACGTACGTTAATTTTTTTTCTTTGATTTGTGACGTGAAAGCAAAGGCTTCCCTGAAAATTTATGAGCCAAACCAGCAAAAGGGTAGTGATTGATACAAGCAACAAACGCGTGAATATGATGATCGGCAACACGGACATACGATAACCAAAACGATCGTTGGCCATGACACAAACGGAGACGAAAAGATGTGTAACTAGGGGGTGGAAAAACAAGTGTTGGAAACACATGTATAGATAAAGATAGAGATCCCTTCTTAGTCTTTCTCTCGTGCTTAAGAACACGAAAAGATGTGTAATCACTTAGAATTGATCCAAAGGTGGAGATCCCTTCTTAACCTTCTCTCCACAACCCTCGTTTTCATCAAAACCCAACCCATATTTGTAAAAGCAACATGTTTCCATATTGTTATTTTACACTCAACTTGTCATAACAACTTTACATAAAATGTAAAACTGAAGTCCTATAAAACAGTTTATTAAGACATTTAGACATATTTAACGTCTTATAAAGCCGATTTTGTTTGCGCTGAGATAGGCACAACGATCATATGTCAAAGAGATAGGACTATATCCTTCGTAGAGGAAGAACAACAATAAGGGAAACCGTTATCCCCGAAAGTAGCAGTAACAGTCCTATAAAGTTGACGATAAGCGCTTCTTGGCCACGCTTCAAGCGTTGGAAATAGAACTTTTCTGTTAATCCCGTCTCGGCACTCACGATCGCCATGAAAAAGATAACGACGCCAAAAAAAACATGCCATGGAGCGATTCTTGCGCGTGTTGCAGACTCTGCGCCCGGAAACAAAAAAGAGAAGAATCCGAATAGCAACTATAGAATTCGTGAGTTTCTGTTAGTACATACGAACACTTTGGTAGATTCTGAATGGTTGTAGGATGAAAGCAGAGCAAGATTACCTGAAACCCGAATAAGCAGATGGTAGACAAGCCGATCCAGGAATGTAACGTGTACATATGCGGGATATGGAGTTCGTTATGGAACTTGAAGACTGCATAAACGCCCAGAATTCCAGAAGCAAGCGCGATCAAATGTAGCATCAGGTGAATTAGTTTAAGCGCTTGTCTCGATGCAGGGATCGACTTGTATGTTATCATCGCTGATTCAAAATACCGATATACATTAGCTCATACACGATCATAGTAAGTTTTGGCCACAACTCAAATAAGAGCGTATTTGGTATCCGGGACAAATAAGGCGGAACAACAACCTGTTGGCAACAATTAGATTGGGACCTGACAATACGAAGGGGTTGTTTGGTTGGTTTTCCATCAAGTCCTGAATGAAAAAGGTTGTACGTGTGGATCACTCTTTCTGTATAGATTGAGAAGATTTCTGTTTAAGAGGGTTTTTTCATAAATAGAAGGAACTTGCTTTTAACTGGGGGCAAGTTTGAAAAAGAACTTGACATTCTGGATAAAGTTTTCCCTAAAAGCTTATTAAATAAGTCATTTTCTATATAATTAAGTCACTACCTAACAGTGATAGTGTAGTGATCATAGTCTATTTCTTACCTTCCCCAGAAAATACAATGAATCCAAGTACCATGAGAAGTGGATGCAACTGCAAATCACAACAACAGAAACAATTCAAGCAAATCCAATCAAATCTTTAAATGAATCGAAAACCGAAACACATAATGTAACACACACCGTGATCCTACACTCGCGATTAACGTCAAAACTTACATTAAAAATCTTTGCTTTGATCTGTGATGTAAAAGCAAAACCTTCCCTGAACCTCATGAGCCAAACCAGCACAAGGGCAGCGATTGATACGACCAACAAATGCGTGAGCGTGAACACGATGACTGGCAACGCGGACGTACGGTCACTGGAACGATGGTTGGCCATGACACAAACGGAAACGAAAAGATGTATGATTACTAATTACGGGTAGAGTATAGACATGCGACTTAGCAAAGAATCTGTTGGGTTCATCGATCAAAAATGGAGATTGCAAGAGAGGAGAGAAGAGGACAGCTGATCTTGAAAATTTGGTGCATATATGCAGTTGGAAGTTCTGTTATTTTAAGATTGTGTTTATATTTGGTAAAACAACAATCTTTGGAAAGAATAATGAAATATTGAAGTTCGTTAAATCAGGGAATGATATGTATAGTTCGATACAAGAATACGTCACTTCAACGATTGTATCATATCATCGTTGTTGATATTATTAATTATATAATAGTAATCAAATAAGAAAATAAGACGATGCACACGGTTTGTTAAATATTGTTTCAAATGAAAATTTCCAAAAATATTATTTTATATAAGAGTTATTTAAGGCATTTATTTAAGAGGTTGGATTTCAATGAGAATAAAAGTTATGGTAAAAAGGGATCTTCATCCTAAGATGTATATTAAAATGAGATGCAATCTCTGTATCAAATACATGGATGGATGAGTTTGAGATTAAAAGTGATCAAAGTTTCAAATTTCTTCTTATGCTTCTCACCTTAACTCTCTATCTCTCACGATGATTTGCCTTTATTTAAGATTCTTTTTTTAAATTTTTTTATGATTTTAATGTGATTTAATTTTTTATCTAAAAAATTTATTTTCTATTGAAGGCATTTAAAGCATAATTTAATTTTCATTAAAGACTTTTTTATTTAAATAAATGATTTTTTTATTTAATTTAATTTTTTTATTTGAATAAAGATTTCATAAATAAATACCTTAATTGAATGAGTTAAATAACTATTATAGAAATAAATGAATTTTCATATAAGAATAGGTCGATACAAGAATATTGTATAATAGAGTCAGATCAACGGTTATATTAATATTGTATAATAGAGTCGAATTTATATAAGAACAATAATTAAATAAAAAAAATTATTATAGAGCACATAATTCATTAAATAATGGTTTAAACAAAAGTGTTCTAAAAATAAATAAATAAGGGTACAAAAGTCATTTATTTATATAAAAATTATATAAGACGTTTATGTAATATTCTTCTTTTACTATTTTTTTATTTTAATGTGATTTAATCTATACTATATTATAAAGCATTTGGCTAAAACTCTTAAAAACTCTTAAACTCTTAAAACTCTTAAACTCTTAAAAACTCTTAAACTTTTAAAAACTCTTAAACCCGTTCATCCCTATCCGATTTCATCCCATATCTGAATTCGTGTAACTAACTGCAGATAAACACAATCAAATACGGGATAAACATCTTATTTTAAATATAAAA